GTTATTTCCGGAAATATCCATATAAACAAAATCAAACACATCAATTTCGGCTCCATGCCCACTTGCTTTTGGTGGCAAGCACGACTTCCTGTAGATGATGCATCTGCAGCCTCTCATCGTTGCCAACCTAGGATGTGTTATGGCAAGACCGGTGGCAACTACACCATTGGATTGAGACACGACTTGTAAATGGATAGGGATGAAGAGACGTTGGTTTGTCGCGTGACCATGTTTCGTCCATCCCAGGCTATGCCCACAAAAGCCAGCCATCGAGCGCTTGGCAAGCGAGTTGGGCGTCTCTGGTAGCTTCGAGCAACTATGCCAGAATGACCTTGATCAGCAACAAAAACTGTCTTCTGCTGGCTGCTACGATTCGGCACTTGCTTTTGGTATGTACTGTGCCTGCTGAGGACAAAGTCGTGGACAAGGCGCCGCATGATTGAGATGCAGCACTTGTGCACACACACACACACAGCCACACACGCACAAATGTTAGGGTGCGCTTAGCAGATGCAATGTTGCTGAGACGATGCTGGGAGTTGTTAGCAGATGCCATTGAGCAGCTACGCATGCATGCCCGTTTGGCCAGATGTTTGATGTCTTCGCTCATGTTACAATTGTTTAACTTGTTGGCACGAAGGGGTTCCTCATCTGGTCTCTCATGTACGTTCATCCGAATAGCGGCAAGTGCTGAGCTGGGGATGACGTGAGGCAAATTGCTGTAGTCGTTGCTAGCACATGCTTGCGATGCCGTCGCGGAAGGTGTTTGCGGAATGCAAAGCCAAATGCAAAGAGTCAAAGTTGCTGGACTTTGAGACGCCGCAGAGGAGGGCATGCAGCCACGTTGCATGTTGCCTTGCATTGCCTTGCTGACTTTCAGTCCGTACTCAACAAACATGCAGGATCGCCCTTATTTCAGATCTCTGGACGCCGGAGAATGACATGCTGACAGCTGCCATGAAGCTCAAGAGACCGCTCATTGCCGAGAAGCACAAGCGGGGGGGGGGGTGTTTGGGCAAAGCTTTCCTAGTACGTTGGCTTGCAGGGGGATAGCGAAGACAGTATTTAGGCATTCTCGAGCAGCACTGTTTGCCAGATGTACGGTGATTAGAGGGAAGCTGGAAGCCTAAAAGCTTGTGTCGTTAGATTCTGTACATGTGACATGTGGCCCTGAGGGAGGAGATTCAGAAGCTCTACGCCTGAAAAGCCTTGCCTGACATCAAAGATGTGGTTTGGAACAGCCCTGGACAGTCTGGACATGTCTGGACGCGGCGGAGCCTGAGGGGGTTGCGCTGCTTGCCCAGCCACGTTCGCGTGATTGATACATTGTGTGGCACATGTGTTCTCATTACAGTTTAAAGAGCAGGAGGAGCTGAGTGAAGACAGGCTACCTCAGTTTCACATTGGAGCCCAGTTTTCACTCATGTGTTCAAGTGCACTATGGCGTGCAGACACTTGAGTTGGAGACTGGGGCAGGACTCCCATCAGTTCAACACATTTTTTTGGACAGGGATCAACATGCTCTCTTTGCTTTGACACAGCTTGTTTGCCCAGCAGCTGCATGTGTTGCACAAACCATTATGGCTGGTGGCCTCTTCAGAGTTATGCCTGCGCTCGATGCCAGTCTCTTCGCAGCCGGGACATGCTGTTCAATGATCACCGCGCCGCTTCCCCAGAAATTTCCCTCGAGATGCCTTGCTGCAAAGTCGTTCGTCAAGATGTTCCGTGCTGGCTGTGCAAAAGCTTGAAGCTACAAGATGAGTCTCCATGTTTATGCCCGAGCCCAGCTAGCCTGGCAAGCTGGTACTGGTAGCTTTTTCTGATGCAAGAGAGTTTCCGTCAGGATATCCAGCTCAGGGCGCATGAAGCAACTGAGCATACGGCAAGAGCGCAATTTGCAAACCGGGCTCAGAGGCTGGAGAGTGCGACAAGCTTCTTGGTACTGCCTTTGCCCAGGTATGTGGCAAGGTTGGTGGTGCAGACCGGCGGCCTTTGCAGGACGCAGCTCATGACTGATGCCTAATTGGCTTGGCCTAAACTGGCAGTGTTTGTTGCCCCGTTCATTGCGAGACTCCACGCTCCAAGAGTCAGAGCCCGTTGGTTGGGAAGGCAAGCTTTCAGATTCCTTTGACAGTTCTGATTCTCTGCAGAATGACTAGGTCCGGTCAGGAAGGGGCTCTGTCGCACTGTCGCACTGTGGAGTGAGTACCTGAATTACCATGCCAAGACTTCGCAAGGTGACAGATGCCGGTCGCGAGCGCGTCCCTGAGAAAGCAAAGCCAGTGGCTGGTGGAATTCTACATTGACGGTTTCGACCGCTGATATTAGGCAGAATGGCTGGCACAACCGCCGGATCTCGCTGGCAGACAAGGCTTTGGATTTGCGCAATGAAAGTGTATGAAAGTGCCGAAAGGGAACGAGTCCGCATGCACCTGGCGAAGGTGAAATCGTTGGCAGAGTTATCAAGAGCAGGCTTTGCACAGACGGAAAAGCAACGGAAAATCCAAGATGCGAAGATGTGAGAATTCTTGCAAAGTCTCCGCACTTAAATTGACTTTCAGGCGGCGGCATCCATGCCACACGCTGAGCTAGTCCACGTTCGCCTGTGTTGGTCGCCGAGCAGCTCCTCTAAAAAGTCATTTAAACATCGACTTTTCATAGGGAAGCCATGCTGCATGCAGACCATGCAGACCTCAGCTACATGTTTCACCAGTTGCGCTTGCAAAATGCCAGATGCCAGAACGCATTGGGGCTATTTGAGGCTTTACAAGACTTGAGCCAGAAGCGCTTACAGATTATGTCAACACAGCAAAGGCAACATGATCATTATCCCGCTCAATGCTTGTAGAGCCAGTGCCTTCTCCGGCAATGCAGCGCAATCTACGCAACCTCACAAATCTTTGTGGCTCTTTGCCACGTGCTAACACATGAGAGTAGCTGCGTAGACTGTCACTGTGAAATGTGAGATGTTGACATTGCGTTCGACTTGCTCTGCGTGGCGCTGCGTTGTGGGGAAAGCCGGAAGTTAAGCAAAGCTGTTGCAGCCTTTGACACCCAGCTGTTTGAACAGATGTTGCAACAGATCGCAATGTTGTTGCCTATGAGGATTTCGGGTGCCGACTGCAGCTGCTGTGCTTGGGGTTCTCCTGCTTGCAGCTAACCTTCAGCCTGTGGGTGTGGCAGCAAGCAGCGGAGCGCCGACAGAAATGGAAAGGATGGCGATCAGCCATGCTTACCATAGCTCTTGGTGCCAATGCTGCAAAAAGCTGTAAATGTTGATCGTTATCCTTAAAACCTTTTCCGTCTGACACATTGCTGAAGTCCTTGTTTGATTTGTGGAAGTGTTGGCTTACAGCAACTGCAGCCTTGTACATTAACTTGGAAGCGCCATGGCTGTGCGCAGCAGGCGGCATCAAGATGCCCAACTACCTCTGGATTGTTACTGAAGTTACTGAAGCTGGCGTGACACAGGTTGACGTCCGCGTTGTGCATCGCTTTGGCCACGCTGCCGATGTCCCAGACGAGTCAACAACTCCACATTGTAGCACACCCAAACCGGCCTTTTGCTGCAAAAGTGCCGCGCTACAGCTTCATAAGCAATGATACCGTGATCGACCCAGAAGTGGCATGGCTTGGCACTGTTTTATCTAACTGCCTGCAATTGCCATACTGTACCTAGCGCAGCGCCCAGGCTTGCTGTCAACATCTTCAAGGCGCAGCCTAGTCTTTGCCAAATGTACAGTGCAAACAGTACCCTCCGCACGTGAGCAAGGAATTTTATGAAAGTTCGGAGCTATATATGCAGGAAGGGATCCAGACATGGCGTGAGCAGCTAACGGATCAAAATGAACGTGGCAACATCGTAGCGATACCCCACGTTACGGCAAATGGTTTTCGGCTGGTACGTTCGCACTTTTTAAAGATTGAAACGCCGTGGTCACTCTGTGTTTCCGACTACAGGCACATCCTGAATAACCCTTTTGTCCTCAATTGACTGGCCTCTCCATCATTGGTGAGTTTATTCAAGAAGTTTCGTTCCGTTTCGCATCCGCCAGCGGAAGGCCGAAGCTTGCCGGCTTGTGTTTGTGCTTTCCGCGCTTGGTCATCTGCAGTATTTCGAGGTCAACACACTCACTGGCGGTCTGGCTTGCCTTAGGAAGGTAGCCAAATCGGTCCAAGCCGACAGAATCATTCAGTGCCCCCTTTGAATAGAGAGAGGTGCCATGCCTAGTCGCGGTGCAAGAGCAGAACACTTGCATGCACCCGTTTCAATTTTTTGCACATGCCCGCTGCCATACCTTTGGTGGCACCGTGTGAGGGAGAGAGCCCGGGGGGGGCATCCAGCCCTCTCCCATAGCCTGAACGAAAGAAAGAAAGAAAGAAAGAGGCATCGAATGTAGAAGAAGAAGAAGAGGCATCGAACGTTATGAACCACAGAACCTCTTGTCATTACTAACAGCCTCAGCTATTGCGCAGGCCACAGCTTTCGCTGGATCGACAAGCACCCCCAAACTGCGCAAGGTCCAGGAGCCAAAATCTGAGCGTCCCTGCGCTGCCACTGATTCTGTGCGTGTGCCCACTCAGTCAGAATCTGAAGCCGCAGAGTCACTTAGGTTAAGGTCGGCAATGCCGCTTGAGTGCCGCACCAAGTCAAAAGCTTCAGGCATGCCAACCTGGAGTGAAGATGCCAAAGCTTCTGGAGCGAACTTCCGTCACTTTGAGGCATGGTGATCTCATGTCAGCAGCTGCCTTGGCATTTGACAGAATCAGTGGACCAGGCTCACGTTTTCGTACCTTCCTAGCCTACAATCTCAGTAGTGCGGTGAATGATCTGAGAGCCTGACTTTGGGCCCCAGGGGTTGGCTGGGCTCAGGCGGGTATTTGCGCTCTGCGCAGACCCTCAGTGGAAAGCAGTCGAAAGCCTCCCCAACAGCCGCGATTCCGTTCTGAATAAAGCTGGCCTGGCTTGCAACGCAAACAGGGAAATCAAGTGAAGAAAGAAGGCTTTCAAGTGGCAGAAAAAAGCCCAGATACTATCTAAAGTCAAGGCGAGGGTTTCAGAAAAATTGGCCATAAATTAGGTTTCCAACAACAGCCTGCTTGGGGGCCAGGCAGAGCCTTTAGCAGCTTTGGTCCCTCAATAGTGGCAAAGCAACTGTGCTGTACAGGATACTTAACATGGTTCAACGCTGCAGAGCATCGATTGGATGTTTGATTCCGATTCCGTTCCGCTGTAAGTCACATTGCTACCGTGCCCACTCACTAGTTGGTGGCGCGCAGCACACAGATCGCCTGGCGATTTGTGCGCAATTTGAGTGTTTTTTGATGGTTTCTGGACTTATCCGCTGCCGCGAGTGAGCACGGACTATTCCGATTTGTCCACGCTTCGCTCCATAGCATCATGCCCAAAGCATAACAACGTTCGTGTTCCACGAGCGTAACCGTTCATGTTCCAAGAGCATACGGTGACCAGAGCCTCCATGCCTAAACCGTAATTAATAACGTTCGCGTTCCTAGAACATACGGTGACCAGAGCATCCATGCCCAAACCAGAACACTGTTCGTGTTCCACGAGCGTACGGTGACCAGAGCATTCATGCCCAAACCATAATAACGCTCGTGTGCCAAGAGAATACGGTGACCAGAACGTGCATGCCCAAACCATAATGACGTTCGTGTTCCAAGAGCATACGGCGACCAGAGCATCCGTGCCCAAACCATTATAACGTTTGTAATTATCGTTCATGTTCCGATAGCATACGGTGACCAGAGCAGAGCATCCATGCCCAAATCAATACCTTTCGTTCCAAGAGCATACGGTGACAGAGCCTCCATGCCCAAACCAGAATAACGCTTGTGTTCCAACAGCATACGGTGACCAGAGCATCCATGCCCAAACCATAATAATGTCGTATCGTTCAGGTTCCACGTGCATACGGTGACCACAGCATCCATGCCCTAACCAGAATAACGTTTCCTGTTCCGCGAGCATACGGTGACCAGAGCATCCATGCCCAATTCAATACCTTTCGTGTTCCAAGAGCATACGGTGACCAGAGCATCCATGCCCAAATCAATACCTTTCGTGTTCCAAGAGCATACGGTCACCAGAGCATCCGTGCCCAAACCAGAATACCGTTCGTGCCAAGACCATATTTATGGTGACCGCGTTATCTCGCAGTTGTGCCGCACGGGAACCTGATCTGAAGTTTACTCTACACGAAATTAAATGACTTAGCTGTGCGTTTGCGATGCCCTGGCGCAGCAGTGCCTTGTAGAAGGCAAAATTTTGAGTAGCTTGCGTCCCACAACACGCAGATAATCGTGAAACAACGATTTAGTTTGCCGGGTTTCTTACTTGCTCATTTTGCGGCTGAAATCGCGCTAAAGCCTCAATTTCGTGCACTTTTATCCCTCTGAAACACGCAGCAGGCATTCTATGCGCGCGTGACTTAGTTAGGCAGTTGCGGCATACCGGTCTGCGAAGAAGTAGTATAGTTTAGATTTATAAAATCCGACAGGGACAGATGGTGAGGTTCAAAAGAATTATTTTCCAGAAAGTTTGCAGATTTTTCCAGATTGGGGAGGAGACCAGTTTCGCAGATTGTTTTCAGTTTTTTGCAAATTGGAATTTGGATTGAAGATTCTTTGCAGATTTCTCGCGAAAGCACCGCGAAGGGTTCCTTGTCAAAAAACGCTTGCCTTGCTTACACCAGAGCACCTACACCGCTCACATACACTGCACCAAGTACACCACAGCACCTACACCGCCCACATACAGCACATACATCGTTACACCGCACCGCGTACACCAGATAGCCCACACCGATTCTATTGTATTTTACCTTATTTCTCAGCCTGGGTTGGGTTTGGCTGGGGTGGGCGGGGTGCACCCCTCTGCGGGGATGGTGCGTGTCGAAACGCTCTCGGTGTGGCGCCGTGCGAATTTGCCAAGTTGGCGAACCCTCTGCGGGGATCGTGCGCGTCGAAACGCTCTCGCTGTGGCGCCGTGCGAATTTTCAAGCTCGGGGGCGAACCCTCTGCGGAGATCGTGCGGGTTGCAACGCTCTCGCGTGCTCTCGCTTTGGCGCCGTTTGAATCTTCAACGCCGCCGACGAACCCTCTCGCTGTTTCTGCGGGTGCGAGCGCTGGCGCGTGGAGCGTCCTGCCAATTCTGTTTGGAAAGAGTGGCAGCGCTGGCGCGTGGAACGCGTCCTGCTAATTCTGTTTGGAATCGACGACTCCCTCGCTGTTTTGGGCACGTAACATCCTGAGGAATCTGTTTGGAGTCGACGGACCTCTCGCTGTTTTGGGCGGGTGGGAGCGCCAGCGCGTGGAGCGTTTGGAATCGACGCCCGTCTCGCTGTTTTTGGCGGGTGGGAGCACTGGCGCGTGGAGCCTCCAGAAAGTGTGACCTCGCGATGTTCGAGAGGTGGCTTTTCAAATACCCGGCGGTTCTTGCTCTGCTACAGGAAATGCATGGAAATATGTTTTTGAGCTTCAATGGCAGTCATCCATCGAGGCGATGACAGATGCGTCTACAGTGGTGATCGCAGATGATGTCGAGGCCACGTGTTTATGCAGCCAATGAAGTGCACGCGTCAACGACGCCAAAGTTGAAATTGCAGGTGCCAGTTGTAGCCCACGGACTTGAATCAAAGAGTCAAAGCATGCTGCATCCGTAATTGCGCAAGAGGTTGGCTACAAGGTTGTCAGCCAAACAACTTAATATAGTATAGCCCCACCAAGTAGATGATGGAGTACAACTAAAAGCTAAGATGAGCTAAGCGACATCCCGTCCCGACCTGAGGATGAGGGCCGCCTATTCCTCACATGTACAAATCACCAGTCTACAACTTAAAGGGGGGGAGAAGTGGAATTGCAGCACCAAAGAGAGAAAGACAAGCATGGAAGCCTCGTGCACCAGCTGCTGCCCGCACCTGTAGACTGTAGAAACACAATGTGTCACATCATGGAGAAGTGCAAGCAACCTTTAGAAGCCAGCTTCTTGATTGCCTATTCAAATGTATCTTGCTAAGCATGTTTGTGGTGAGCAGCAGCCCCGCCTCCCTTAGCATCACTGGGGGCAGCATTCGTATTCTTAATAAAAAGATGAAGGGCCCACGCGAGCACCGTGGCCCAAGAGAGGGTGCAGCAAAGCCCAAAGCACCAGCAGTTGGAGCATCCCCCAGACAGGGTTGGCCAGTTGATCACTTCAGTGCTCTCGCTGAATGAAATTGCTGCAATTGACAACTTATACAGCTGATTCAATGTTAAGTGTAACATGCGTTGTGTGGAGAACCTCTCCCTGCACCAGATCTTAGCGTCGACAGTGAATGCCATACTGTGTCAGGATATGGTCCAGGTATGGTTGACTTGGAAGAAAGAAGATTCTGCCTGACTGCCAGTCCATTCCAGCCGTGGCATTTGTGGTTTCAATTTTCGCTGCGAGCTTACAGCAGTTTGTGCGCAAAGATCATGCTTCACATTCATCTGCTTGAGGTTGGCATTGTGGGTTACTCAACCTGGACCGCCTTTGGGCCAGGCTCTGAAGCTGACAGTTGCAACTATTCAGGTGCTGCTCTTGTCACCATTTCGCGATTTGCTGCTGTGATGCCAGGAGCTTCTGAGCTTCGAGACCCATTTGAGGAACATGAGGACTAAAACTGGCAGGCAACTTAGACCCTGCAGCCCTGCAGCCAGCTCGTTCAAAAACTATGCATTTACCCGAGCTCCACAGCCTTCATAGGCTCAAGCGCACAACTATACAATTGGTCAAGGCTTGCGAGACTCCGCCAGCTGCAACATTTGTTTTGAGGAAGATGTCTGGGCTTGGTGCTTTTCGCCTATGCTTTGCAGCCAGCGCCTTGGTCCCGGGGCAGTCTACACATGCATATTGCGCGTGTCCACAAACCAGTAGTTGTGCTCACCCCATTCGCTGCAACCCGCACCCGGCTCTAGCTTTTGCTGCAACTATTTGGACTACCTGAGTACCAGTGTACAGCTGCTATGATCCATTTCTGCTGCCGCTACTCCTCTAATGGTTATAGTGGCTGTCATTGCTGCTGTTACCGTGGCCGTTGCTGTCTCTACAATTTGTCTACTGCTTGCTGTATGCGGACTGCCTGAGATGATTACGAGTACGGCCCACATTCGTTTTCCTTGCTGCTTCCTCGAGTACTACAGGGCATGTGTTGTCAGAGGGCAGAATTCCTTCCGATGAACACTGCGCTTCCCCTCAGACACGTAAAGGTGCAGCTTGCCAGCAAACTACTTCGCTTGCTCAGCTTTCTTGCGGGGCTGGAATGAGTGCTTGTGCCTCAATAGTTCTGGAGTTGCCACGGCTTGGATTCTTCTGTCGAAGTGAATGCTCCTCTGTAAATCGTTGGTGGCTGGGAATGGTGAGATCGGACTGGTAGAATCACAGGAGCATGCAGGATTGCAGCAAATTGCAGTGATGCAGTGAGCGTGCTTTGAGCGACGCGTGCAGTGGTGAAGCTGCCAAACTAAATGCAGCCCTTGCAGATCATTTTGGTAGCAGGGGCGGGTGACTAGACTCTAGACTCGCCTCGGTGCTTGCACGTCTAGAAATCATGACTGCTTTCGTTACTTATCTTTCAAGTTTTGTAATTCTCCGTGTAAACTATTGGCCGACCGTTGTGGCACTGCACGCTAAGGCTACGCAGCAAAGGCTTCGAGTATTCCAACTCCATTTTCAGCGGGCAACAGCTGGGCCTCCAGTTCTTGCGCTGGTCCCGGCAACAAAACCAGCTTTCTGTTGCGGCCGTCGGAGTTGAAAAAGCTCTGCTCAGCAATTTCAGGGGGTTTAGCAATGATGGGTCACTTGTTGGGGATCCCTATTCTTACGGATCCATCCTCCTGCCATTTCTTTGCAGACAGGCGGACCTTGACTGTGAGAAAGAACCACATGTATGTCCAACATGTTTCCCAGCCTGACATGTTGAGAAACAACTTCCTCGATCTTCCTTGCAAACCTACAGATCCTTCTGGTCTCGTGATGGATCCTTCTGGTCTCGTGATGTACCATCAGAAGCAGCATCTTGGCATTTGCAGCCAGAAGCGCAGCAGATGTGTGTTGAAAAGTCGGTCTCATACGGTACGCATTGTGCGCGAACGAACGGGTCGCCATGGCTCTTGCGCCAGCCTTCAACGTGCAGGTGAGTCTTTCAGCCTTAAGATGTAATTCATCCATCTGGCCAGCAACCGGACGGAGCTATAGAATTGCCATTCGCATCCCGAGACGCCTATTGCTTCAAGCTTGTAATTATCTGAAGGATTCTGAAGGGTTCTGTACAAGTTTGCTTGAATCTCCTGAAAAGTTTTGCCCGGCTAGCCTCGCCACTAACATCCAAGTTTCCAGGACTTAGAAGGAATCCAGTCAAATGCGGGAAGGTAGCTCTTTAAAGAACTTTAATGAGCATCCCTTGTCAGGCCGCACCAGGCTTGATGCCAGTGCAACGCCTCGCCGTGCTGCAGCATCTGCAGCACAGTGTAAGCATCCAAGAAGGAGAGCTGTTGACTGCACCGGAACGACACATCTCGCAAGACCGAGCGGTGCAGCACAGAGTGGCTTCAAAAGGACGACTGTTTTGCAGCAGCGCTGCTTTCATAGCGCTCGTGGACCACTTAGATTCTGTATGCTTCATGACTCCGCAAACATCGGAGTCAGCTGTGTCTGCAGACGTGGAGTTCATTACGCGATCGTTGCGTGTGTACGTCGCATAAGGTTGCCTTACCACGCATCCGGCAGCGACGGATGACAGCGACAAAGGCACATCAGAAGACATCAACGGTGCATAGTTCCATGGCTTAGCGAGGCCAGCAGGCGTGCTTCTGCGCAGCAAGGCTGCGTCATATCGCATGTCGTTTCTGAGTCTGCAATGACTCTTGCCGCCGCGCGTAGGCCGCGTCCGCCTTGATTGGGGGAATGCCGGGTGATGAGAGGTGTGCTGTGGAAGAATCCCAGACCGTCCAACAGATGCAGAATTGGACAAATCGTGAGGGAGGAGTGGAGGGGTAAGCGAGGGCGGCCGGAGGGAAATTCCCGGCGTGGAGATTGTGTTGAAGCAGAGCTGCCCTGTCAAGACTTTAAAGAGAGGCGCAGAGCGGATCCCGAGGGTTCTTCGGAGCGCCCATGAGCTGGGGCCTAGAGAAATGTTGCAAGATGTTGCAAGTTGGGATCAGGCGTAGAGACGCGCAAGCAGCTTGAGGCAACGGAGTGCATGGTTGGCTGCTACATTTGCATGGATTCAGACGCCTGCGGCTTGTCTGAAGGCATTCCTTGAAGCTCAACGTCAAGCGCCGCCGGAAAATGATCCGCTGGGCGGTCCTCTCGTTCCGCACCTCGGGCTTGATTGAGTTGATGTTCGAATTTACATGTTCACATTTTATATGTGCTAGCAGTAGAAAGGTACAATGACGGCCCGCTGGACCTTTTTTGCATTGCCATTTTCCGCCAGGCCTCTCACTGCTTGAGCATGACATTGTGTGTCCTGTGCTGAAGCCTTGCACTTGCAATTGAGCTCAGCTGCCTTCATAGGTTTACTGCAATTTTCCCTTCCCTGCGCAGAGGTGATGTGCGGCGTCGCCGGTTGGCAGTCTCCGCTTGCATTTTGGGGTCCAAAGGCCAGCATTTTGCCATATGGTAATTGAACGCTTTGCGCGCCTGGCCTGCCAGTATCTGCTCATATGAGCAGCGCTTGTTTTTTTCTATCCGCTATTCTTCCGATACTATCTTGGCGACACCAAACTTGGCATGCGCCGGACTGTGGCCGTCCAAGGATGGAAGCTTCATACAAGGGGATGGCTTTGCGGAAGGGTCGCAGATAGTGCATGCGAAAACACGAATCCGAATTAATCCATACGATCAGATGGTTCAGAAGACTGCGAAAGTTAGGGTTGAGAGATTCCCAACTTTACGGGCTTGTACGATGGAAACACGAACATTAACAGCAAGACACATGTTGCAGTTCGGTTTTCGAAACCGGGAGGGAATTTCGCGGAAGGCTCGCAGAAGGCGGAGTGCAATTTTCAAGCCCATGCGACGTGGAGCGTTGCAACTGCAAAAGGCTGCCAGCAAAAAACACCAGCGGCTCATCCACATCCTAAAGTAACCCACGAGCAAAAGATACTTCGTGGAAGCGAAGAGGTTGGTCAAAGCAACACCTTGCAAGATGTAAAGCAATTCAGGACTCTTTGAGCCGCGGAAGGACGCCGATGGGTTTCGCGGAAGGGTTGTATTTTTGTGTCAATATGTAGAATTTTAGTGGAACAGATGCCGCTGCTCCTTTGCGCTCTTGCTCTGTGATTCCGTTGCTTTAGAAACATCTACGCAATAGTGCCCAAGGTAATAGTTACAATGCTTTTCAACTGGCCTCTCCTCTGTTTCAGGCAACAGGGTGGAGAAAGGAAATCCGGATGCACGTGCAAGCACGCTGTCTGGCATTGATGGTGCCCTTGTCTTACAAAGACAGTCTGGCTCCGTTGAGGTTTCCCTTGCCTGTCCATCCTCTGGCGACCAGAGCCTGTTTTCCAAAGCTTGCTGCAACGAGGGTCTCCAGCTCATGCGTGCCAAAGAGGACCTCCGTGTTACTTTGAAGGCTGCCCTACTGGATGCGTGGCAATCGAACAGTCAGTCAATCAACTGGATGGACTCCCCGCTGCGTGTATTACCTGCCTCCTGAATGAGTACTCAGCGTTCATCGAGGAAGCTCGCTTGCGGCTAGCTTCACGCCTTGCCTCGTGTGCCACATGCGCTGTTGGTAATTATCTGCTGTTTTGTGCTTGGACAAAAAGAGACTCGTTCCTTGCTCTCGTCCTGCCTTCAGAGCAGTTTTCATGTCGTCCGCGCTCGTCTCCACTTGCTGGCCTGATGTGCTTTTGCCTCTAAGCAGCTTTGTCATGGGGTACGACGCTGTTTTGGAGACAGTGCACCTTGCGGAGCCGGCAAAAACGTTCTGACCAAACAAAGCGCCCATCTGAGAAAAATGCATTGTTGAGACTCTCAAAGCCACATGCATTGGCGAAATCCAGCTTGACCGGCAGACCTCGACTCCACTTTGGGCCTGTCGCAGGCACAAGGGGCGGACGCGAGTTAGTTGGTTAGCTAGAAACAAATGTTTCCCGGAAACCTTTCGAATGTCACCTTTTTGTCAGAGACTAACCTTTCCGGGAAACGTTCGTTTCGCGAACCGAACTGAGGTTTCCAGGAAAGGTTTGTTTCGTAAGAGGGAAAGAAACCGGTGGTCGTAACGGATCAGTCCCTCACCGTCAACTGGATCAGCGCTGGGCTCGAAACAGCTCCGGGGTTTTCGGATCAGCGAAGCAACAGCTCATGGCATGCTCTGTCACCCTCCTGCCCCAGTCGTTGCTGGATCTGTTAGGGTCGAGGGCTGTAAGCAGCGCTAGTCTCCCTGATGGATGGCCCCGAGCTGACATGCCCGGCGCATCCGGTGCATGCTGCTATGCCACCTTCGCATTTATTGGGACAGATGTGGAATGCTTGCATGCGCGTGATTTTGCGGCGCGGGAGATTACCACGCAAAACATGCTCTACAACAGGGAACGGTTTGAGGTTTACACTGCTGCATGTCGGCCTGGATTTTTTGATAGTGTTGCGACAGTTCTGTCACGACAAAGGGTCTTTCTTGGGCTGAGGATGTTTACATCTAGCTTAAACAACTTTTAAGCTGACGTTGATTGTAGGCAAGTGTGAATGCCGTACAAAGATGCTCTTAGCCAACATAATAGTTACTTTACCAACCTAGATACTAGAACGCTTACGAATTAACGGTTCCTGGCCCGAGTTTCAGTGGGGTAAAAACGCCTGCAGGCACGCTATAGAGCAACAAGCTGAAAGCTCTGGCGGAACTGCTGTGAAGTCAAAGTTGGAAGGTGCAGGTTGGGATCGCTATGCCAGGATTGCCGTATTCCTACCTATGAGCGTTGCACATCCTCGCGCATGATTTGGCATGCGAAGCAAGAAGCGGAAGAGCTGACGCAAGCGGGAAGTCAAAAAGGGTCAAAGCATCGAGCCGGCTGAACCGCCTGGACTACTACCTGGGAAAGGAGACTTGCAGCCATACTTGCAGACCGAGCTTGAAATGCAACTGGGGCGCCGCCCTATCCCGGTGCTGTTGCAAACCGCTGTCAATGTCCTTGATTTTTTACACTTGGGAAAAGTAAACCTTGCGAGCTCACGTGACGAGCTGCCCAAATAGTTTTGTAATTGTTGTATGTCAACCAGCCAACCTGTCCAATATTGTCCAATGAACAGCTGCAACACAAGGCGCCTTTTTTGGTACAAGTTTGAAGTTTGGGGGGCTACAGTCCAAGAAGCGCTCCGAAATGCAGAAGGGAAGAGGGTAAAGCATGGTAAAGCTATCTGCCTGGCATCCAAGACACAGTTCTCAATCAGCAAGCTGGAATGCTGTTTGAAAAGGGTAAAAGCTTGAAATATCTTAAACTTGTCACCTACCCAGTTGGCTGAAGCCGCAGGAGAATTTCGATTCAAGAAACCCAGGCTCGCGCAAAGATGCTTCTGAAGCGCTTGGCACACAACAAAATCCTGAAGATTGCGGATGTTGGTCGCGCAATACTAGTGCTGTTTCCAGACACTTCCCCCCTCCGCCCCACACAAATGCTTGCATGCCGACAGGCCTATGACGGCATGTTGGAGGTGGCGCACGCTCAGCAGTGGGGAAAAAGCCTCCAGGAAACGGAGGACACAGCCTGTTTCCACCTCCTACTGTAGAGATGATGATCATGGTGGTGATGATGATGATGATGTTGTCGTCGTCGTTGTCGTTGTCGTCGTCGTCGTCGGCGTCGTCGTCGTCGTCGTCGGCGTCGGCGTCGTCGTCGTCGGCGTCGGCGTCGTCGTCGTCGTCGTCGTCGTCGTCGTTGTTGCTTGCATCTGAATAGTGCAACTCTGGGTCTGCGCTCTTGAACGGCTGTTGATCGGACATGGGCTAGCCTTCGGCAAAACATCATTCGAACTAATTCACCTGGAAATTTGCCGTTCCATGGAGTTCTTCGTTTGCAATGCTCCCCCAGAAAGGGAAGGGTGAGCCGATGATGGCTATAAATAGATGATGGAGTTGAGTGATGAAGCCAAAGGCCGAGAGTATGTGTGAGACGAAACAGAGAGTCACTCAAGATGCTGCGAGTCGCCCTGTCATCGTCTTATTGAATCCAATAGAAATTGCATGCAAGAATTGCCCGCTTGAACAGGAAGGGCGCTGATCAGCAAGCAACAATACAAAGAAGTTCTGCGGCTGTCATCGTGTTTTGTTTTGTGCTCCGACAGTTGAAAGAAGGCAGGCAGCTTGTCAGTAGTTGGTTGTTTTTGTTTCGAGTTTTCTGAGCGCAGCTTCGCTACCTACATTTCCCGCATTACTATAGGATCCCAGTGGGCATGCATTGCAAAACCAAGAGCATCACCTTGCGCTTGCTTTCACCAGCAGATGTGGGCTAATAGCGCATTGGCCGTAACTCATCGCGCATCCAGCATGTGCTGGAAGGGCGGATGCTCCTCAACGAGCACTTTGAAACTGCCATGTTTAGTGTAAAGGCCCTTAAGGCAGCCTACTCTCCCAAACATTGCAAAATCATCACTTCGCACTTCAGCTTGAAGATGTTTTTGCATATTGCTTTTCAACGTTTATTGATCCGCGAATACCAGTCCGGGGTCAATCTAATGTATCATCATGGGTTCACCGGACAGTCCTGCAATTGCTTGGAATGCATTCGCGTTGCCTAGTCCCAAGCATATCTCTGCGGCTTTGAATGGCTGTGTGCAGAAACACTGCGAAGGCTACATGCTGCCTTGCCACATCACAAGAAGCCGCGGCTTACAGTTTCGAGAGCAGTTGCTGACTAGTTAGGGTGCTTTGTGCGAGGACTCTGCAATGTCCGTCATTGATGGGTTGCTCCCCGAAGAGGGCAAGGCCAAGAGCGACATGGACGCATCTCGCGTGCATCTTCGAATCGTACTTTCTTAACGGCATGGAGTTGTAATTATGCCGTGCAAACAGCCATGGTATTTGTGATTGGCTCACCAGCTTCCGTAGAGGAAAACACATGCCCATGATTCACAGCCTTGAAGCCATCAGCTAGGGCAAAAAATTCTCAAAAGACGCCAAAAGATGCGATGCCACGCAAGTACATGCACTTACAACTTCAAGTGCCGCCGTGTTGGTCGCGATGGGGTGCCTTGGACGATTCAGACCTTCAGCCGCCATCCACCGAATCTCACTTCATCACAGCGCAGGCAGAGCTGCTGCCGAGCCGCGATTCCTTGTGAGGAGCTGCCCAATCAGGCCAAGCCTTTCGATCAGCACCTGGATGATGAGCTGCTTTCTTTACCTTTCAGGTTGTGCATGAGACAGCAGAGGCCAGCAAACTCTTTCAAGCCATGCCAACAGGGCTGAAAGTCCCTGGATACTGTAGCCATTTTGATGTCATCATTCTGTTCAGACGTCCGAGCATACCGCGACGGTGATCGTGCCTGTTTAAGCTCTCGGAAGCAAAGCGTGAGAATCTTTAATTGTTGAGAAGATGCGCCGTCAGTCGGGAGTTCAAACAAATGAAGCAGGCTTCAACAGATGTGGGGCTCAGGCGCACAGATTCAGGGAGGGTGCAAAGGGGCTGTGCGGGCAGGTGACGAGTGGGGCTGTGGGCGGGAGGCTTAGTTGCCGAATCTCTGGCGATGTAGCATCCCCGCGATTCGGTAGAACACCAATTTGAGAGTCCAACAACCCAGCGCATCATCTTGCGTGAGTGTTTTTGTTGAGTTTTCTTTAGGTTTACAGTAAGTAAGTAGGAGCTCGAAGGCCTGTCAAACTCAACCTACTTGGCGGTTCATGAGACCTAGTAACCGCCTACAATTGGGCCTGTAACTCTACTTATAGCCCTGCTGTAAGGCCTCACTATCCCAGTCATAAGTGGTTTCTAAGTTTCGCGAACATCCAAGAAGGCAGGCAGCCTCTGGATAGAGTGAGGGTCTATCCCACATTGTGGCAAATGCTAGCAACAATTTTTGAGATGCGCCAAAGATCCATGAAAGCCACGGTGCGGTTTGAGGCGGTTTCGGTCTTCTGTAAAATGCTACAGTTCCATGCGGAATTGAATAATTTTCGGTTCGGTGAAGGTCTGTGCGATGCGACTACTTATGCATATGTCCCGGTTCGCTGCGATTATTCGGTGATCTCTTACACACCTTTCTGTTAGGTTCTGTTTTGTGCAACTTCTCATGGTTGTGGGTTGCCGGTTGATGCAAGCCAAATTTTGCCAATATTGGGGGGTTTAATTGTATAGGACTTAGGAGGGTTTCAGCAGGATATGCCATATGATTTTTTGCAGCCTTGCACAAATCATCCAGCACTGGTTCTTGGGGAAAGTCGGACATTAATTTGCAGCCACAAAAACTTGTTCAGCGTATCCTTCAGAGTTGTGCCAAGAATGGGTTCTTATGAGTAATGGTTCTACTTGTCCCAACACCTGTCAAGGATAAGGTTACTTGCAGGCAAATTCTGGGCCACCTAAGTCTTTTCAAGTTATATTCGCTCTATGTACTTTTAATGTTTTGAGTAGGATATAACGACAGGAGGGTTTTAGCAGGACATGCTGAATGATTTTTGCAGCCCTGCAAAAATCATCCAGCACTGGTTACTGGGAAGTGTCAGAAATGATTTTTTCAGCCCTCCAAAAACATTCTGCGCATCCTTCAGATTTGTACCAATAATGAGTTCTAACTAGTCATGGTTCTACTTTCCCAAATCCTTTTAAGGATAAGCTTACTTATCGGCCAATTCTGATCCCCCCTAATTCTCGCGCAGAGTCCAATCGATTATTCCAGGCATTTCGTTGCAAAAATCATGTTTGGAGGCCCCCGACCCATAACCTCATAAACTCATATGGGAAGCTACCCGACCCCCAACCGAGATGCAGTGGGACCGACGCCAAAACACAAAGTCCAAATGATACAGTATTTCCAGGTCTTGCAAACCTCTTTTTGGAGACCCCCCGACCCCAAGCCGGCTCGCATTTGGTTATTCGATGTGGTTCGGGTGGTTCCTGATTCGCTTTCGGTTCATAAGGTTCTTTGCGGTTATTTATTTTGGTTGTTGCGAATGCGGTTCTTGCGGTTTGGTTGATTCGGTGCCGGTGCGAGTGGCGGCCTTCACGAAAATCATTTACACGCATGCGCTCCTGCCAAGTCAGTGTGCAGAGATGAAGCGCGCACGAGCAGTGTTTGTTTAGAAGTCTTGCCAGCTGCGCCGGCCAGGTTCGTTAGATTATATGTCAGATGACCAGGCCAGACACAGATTACCTTGGCTTTACAGAGCACTCAAATCAAGCGCAATTCCCAAAATCCGTCTTTGCAGCTCGGAGTCCAGCCAGCTCGTCTGTTGTTTGAGATTTTGGACAGCACCCCGCAGCCAACTAACGTAAGCCAGTGCGATGAAAGGACCTTCCAGGCCCCAGCATTCTTGTGCTAGAGACGCAGCAGGGGGGTTCTTGAAGACAGAGAGGTCGTTGAAGACCTGCTGCTGATCCCCAACAGCGTTCCCAGGTTTGAGCAGCATCTTGTTGAGGAGTCTCAGCGAGCTTCTGCTGCTGCTGCTCTGGGCTTTGCGTAGCTGGGGCTCACGGGCTGTAGCGCAACCCAGAAGAGGTTTATCATATCCATGTGCTCAGATGCTGTTTGTGCTGCGCTCTTTCAAACTCGTTGCTTCTGTTAAAAGACGTTTGAGATGTATAGATTGTTGATCCAAACAAGCATTGGAGCAGACTGCGCAGAGGTCGTTCAAACTCTTATCTGATCCCAGGATGGATAGCAGCAGTTTTAGTATTTGACGAGAGAATATCCGCAGCCTTGCCTCGAGCTTCTGTAATGACTCACCTTGGTCGCTGATTCTGGTGAGATGAACGGCAAGACAGGGACCTGCTGCCTTGCTGGAGTGAAGGGCAGGTGACCGTTCTTTGAGATGTCTGCGTGCATTTGTCGATCAGATCTTTTTTGGAAGACAATCTTGAAAGTAGAAGTGCGCTGCGCCACGCCCTTGAAGTATCCAGTGTCCAGCAGGTAGGACATTTTGTGGATGTCGCTTTCTCTTGAGCTTTCCGTATTCTGTCACTGCATCCCCTTGCCTTGCCATCCTCAGTTCCTCACACTCCTTCTATCTGACGGATTGAAGGGATCCATGTGGGGGCAGTCGCTACTGCGGCTAATTGCGTGTGCAGAGAATGGGACTGCTTTTGCATCTCACAGGCTTGCAGCAACGACGTTCAAACCTTAGACGGATCATCGCACAGTATGTCGCGTCTCTTTGTGAGGCATGAAGAATGCGGCCCAGCCCGGCTTAGGTAGAGGGCCTTCTTCGAGAACTGTTCCGGTGCAGTCCTTGCTGCATGGCTTGTCCACACAGCCCTGATCCGCTGACAGCATGATTAATGTTTCGCATGAGGACTCCATATGCCTGCAGCCGTTTTGCAGATTATCTGTCCAATAGCTCCCAAGCTTCCAGCCGTGCTTTGATATCATCATGGCGATGCCCGGCTTTGTATAAGCGCAAATGCAGTCAAGCCTGTCCGATTGAACTCTACAGATTCTCCTTTGATGCAATCAGGCTTGGTGGTCTGGCTGGAATCAACTGCGATTGCCAATGGGGCTTGCAGCTCGCCCTGGTGGATGCATCTACAATCGCTGGCTGTCTTGACTTGATGATGTTGCTGGCTGATGGTTGAAGAGCTTATTTGCTTCCTGCAACTTGTCCCAGCAAGTGAAGGAGCGGAATCTTGCTTGGCATCGTCATCATGCTTGCAGCAGGCTACCATGAATTCAGGGATGCCTGCGCTGGGCTGCTATCTGTCTGCCTTGCTCGTGCTTGGGCCAGGTGTGTTTACAGCTTTGCCAGTCTATTTTGACCTCTTCTGCTACCAGTGGTACTACGCATTGCATCTTGGCTCATCTGAATTGCATTCCGTCCGGCTTTTCAGCAAGCTCCCTTGAACCATCAATGGACATGGTCATCTGTGCCGCATCATTTTCTTGTCCTGCAGATTTGACACGCACCAGGTGCTGGTTCTGGTTCCTGCTCGGAGCTGCAATGCTCGTGTTCGGGATCGTTTACGAGGCTGGGCATATCCACAGCTTGGCATCATCTTGATCCCAGTTGGCGCTCAAGTTCCGCGTCTACATCTAGCGCTGCATATATGTTGTTGTCAATTATCATGCACGTGCAAGCCCAAACAGCTGATCCCTTTGATTACGGCGCTTGATGAGGGTTGGTGGCTGCGTGCCAGTTCCTGATACTTTCGCAGCGATCGACGCCTAAGAAGCATTCCCCATTGCATGTTGTGATCCACCGTTTTTGTTACCTATCTCTCGGTGGTATAAGTTCCCGAGATTACGGCGGGGGCATGTCCACATGTCTTGAACATTTGTCGAAGAGCCCTGCCCGCCCTAAAGCTGGGTAGTCAAGAATAAAGTGGTTCGGAACACAGCAGACTTACGGCCCAACGGCTTACTAAAAAAAGGTACGAGCCAACTTTTCACTCGCAAGAAAAATCACAAGACAGAAACGGAATAGTGGCATGATTTAAATTGAACTGGAATCCCCAAGACAGAGAAATGAAGCCCTTACCCAGAGACCAGTGCCCTGAGGATTCTAGATTTCATTCTTTGCCATAAACCATTTCTGATTGAACCGCTTGAATTCGGCACGCTCAGCAATTCATCCCTGCTAAAGCAGAATAACGCAATAATGGCCCTTAAAAGACTGCGGAATAATCTGGTCCATGCCAGTCCTGGGCCTCAATCTATAAAACCTACTCTAAATGCAATTCCCGCTACATCCAAAGCTCCTAAGGACTTGAGTCCTTTACGAGAAACAAGTTCAAACCATCGTTTTTTTTTAATGGACCCGCTTACTCGAAAAGCCCA